GGTGGGGGGAAGCCGGCGGACGGAGCCTATCGGCTCCGTTCGCCGCTGGGCTGAAAGCGTACCTTAGTGTATGTGGGGAAGATGGCCGCTCAGAAGACGCTGGCTCCGATGACTGGCTCCCTCCCCTCCCAGCCACCCAGCCAATGGCAGGGCAGGTTGGCTGAGGGAGCCAGTCATTGGAGGCAGCTCTTCTGAGTGGCATATTTTCCGCCCATACACTAACGGGGCGCATTTTAGAATTCTGGCACCCAAAACTCCTTTATAATAAAGGAGAGATTCAGTAAGACGCAAACTGACGCAGAGGACAGAAAATGCGCACCCACAGTGTTTGGCCGGCTGCGCTGTCCCTCAAAGGCTTACCCAGGTTCCATTGGCCATGTCGTCTGAGTCCCGCCTCCGACGCCGCTTCACGCAGCGGGGCGCCACAAGGGAAAGCGGCAGTGGGGACGGACGAGGGCCGGGAGGCGACTTTCCGCGCAGGTGACACGCCGGTCGCCGCCCTGTCCGAGTCGCTGGTCGCCTATCTGGCGCGGCCAAAGGCGAGGACCATGAGTGGCTGGAGGTGCTGGCCGCCTCAGTAAGAGCGGGGAGGGGGAGGAGGCGAGGGGGGCACGCTCCTGCTTCGGCTGCTGCTTCTGCAGCATCGCTTGCCTGCCGCCGCCGCCTTCTCGAACACAGCCACTTCCCTTCTCTCCCCCCCCACTTTCACTCTCTCTCTCCCTCTCTCCTCCACCCGCCCACTTCGCCAACCCATCCGCCCCGCCGGACAGACAGGGGCAGCTTTCTCCCTCCAACCTTCCTTCCTTCACCCACCCACTCACCCACCCGCACTACCTGTCTAGGCGGCCCGTTGTATCCCTCCTCAACGGGCTTTGCTCCCTAGTAAATTATATTCCCTGTTGGTCTGTCACCCTTAACAGCTCCATTTGCCAGTTTGCAGGCCTTTAAAATCACTGATGAAGCAACTGTTTTCCATCCACTGCTTTTCACGATTCTTTTTCTCCACCCCATCCCTGAACCTCGCATTTGCTGGCATGAACAAAGGTCCAAGTGTCATGCACTGCACATTGAGGAGGTGGCAGAGGGTGCATGGAAAACCATGGGTGTGAGATGTCATGTCGTTTCCTGCTAATCATTAGTTATAAAGGAAGAAGACAGGTTTCCAAGTTACAGCCTGACAACAGCATTAATAACAAACACCCCCTGGTAGTAGCCATCTCTGAATAAGAACACGCGCTTGCTTGTGGCCCTAAAAAGCAGTCACCTGAAAAGCCCCCAAAGGGAGCAAATCCATGACCAATCTCAGCCCTCCTTTCAAAGCAAAATGGCCAGTTTGTTTTCAGTTCATGGCTAAGTTTTCAACTACAATTTGGCTGTTTGTGTGTGCACGCGAAACCTCTAAGGAAGGCACCACAGGGAGAAATGGGGGCAGTCCTTAGCCTCTGAAAGAGAGCTGGGTGGCGCTCGAGCCCTCGTGGAACTCATACCCTGTGATAACCTTGACCCGTTATAATCTCATCATCGCACGGAAGTGTGGCTATGCAGCCGTGCAGCAGGGAGTTTCTGCCGTCCTTCATTACTACACATTTTTAACACAGCTGAACTAGGTTGCAGAGCCTCTGGGTCAGGGGTGTCGAACATACGGCCCAGGACCCAGAACCGGCCCATCCAAGGCTCTTATCTGGCCCGTGAGCAACTGGTTCAAGGGAGGGAAGGTAGGAGGCTGCTTGTGGGCGGGCGAGAGGGTGCGTGTGGTGATGTGAGTGTGGTTGAAGCTGTCAAGAAATAGAAAAAGAAATTGCTAGGGGGCAGGACTATGAGGCTGAGGTAAAATATTATGGGGGGGGAGATGGCAGCAAAGACAGAGAAAGAGGAGGTGTGGTGTGTCCCCCCCACCTCCTCTGAAGGATTGATGAAGGATTGGATTGAAGAAGCCACTACATGGAGGGTGGAGCCGAGTGGCCAGTTCTGCCACCCACACACCAAACAGCTACTGTGAGGGGGTGAGTTGGCGAGAGCCGGCAGAAGGTGTGGCAGTTTGCCATCAAAGGGATGGGGACAGCGGGGGAGACAGGAAGAGGAGCGCCAGGATGCGGACTGGAAGTCAACTGGGCTGTCTTGTGAGTGCTGCCCTGAGGGGAAAGACAACCCGGCATCGGAAGCAAGTGGAAGAACTGAAAGGGGGAAAGGGGCACCGCGATCGCTGCTGCACATCTGAACAGCCGCGGAGCCCAGAGGCAGAATGTCGGGGAAGGTGGGGGACAGCAACCTGTTCTCAGCCCATGAAGGAAAAGGGGGTTGCAGGAGGACAAAAAGCACCCCTTGGAGCTTCTCCATCAGGCCTTCCCCTCAGTCCTGTTGCTTCCATGGGAAACGCAAGAGAGATGAGATCTGGGGGGGATCTCAGAGAGCCAGGTTCAGACCCCCCTTCCTGAGCCAGGAGGACACTGTCATTTGGGTTACCTGGGGGAGGTTATTCAGCCTGGACCATCTCACAGGGTTGGTGGTGGTGGGGTGGAGGGGGCAGTGGAGGGGGGAGTCTGGTGTGCCTCTTTAAGATCCTCAGACGAGGTAAGAGAGGAAACAAATAGCGAGAGCTGGATCACAGCTGTACTATGCTGCTGAGGCTGGGCCTATTTTGGTGTGGGGGGTGCTAAAAAACTACCTTATTTACTTGCAAGGAAGACTACTCATCTCCCCAAAGTGCTATATATACAAAAAGGAACTAATTTGCACGGAAATGTAAGATTCCACCCCCCTTTATGGCATCCTTTTGGGGGAAAAGTAGTCTTGCATATGATTAAATACATTTATTGGGGCTTTTTTTTATTCCCCAGTAAATCAATTGCTTTCACTCCTAGGAATCAATTGCTTTTGTTTGTATTTTGAGTAAT